ACATACCTAGCTATTTATGTAGCTACATTATGTATTATTCCAACATTACTGTTAGCTAAGCTGTAGGTAACTAGCCATGTTTATAGCTATGTTTATCTTGTATGTAATCTGTGTGTGCATATGAATCATATATAGAAATATTGAATTTGACACATGTGAGTTTGTGGACCCCAGAGGGTTAAGGTGGAACATAAGTGCAGTGAAATCTGTTGCAAAAAAATGATTAATTCTTGACCTGTTCTCTCTGTTCTGCAGCAAGCAGGCCTCAGGGTCAAGACACCTAATGGCTCATTCAGTACTCATGACTATGTGAATGTCCCAGTGAGTTCCAAACGTTTAAGTCTTCTTAAACTGTTATTACACCAAGATTCAAATATAGATTTTTAACACTATTTCAATATTAGCATACAAAAGTTCTTGCATTAATTATAGAGAGAGTGCTACACTGTGAGATATTGGCACTGGTGTGCTATAGTCGTACGCATGAAGCCGAAGGCTGAGCAGATCAGCGCATCAGTGCCAATACTTCACTATATAGCATAGCCTTGAATGTATTACCATGATTATACCACACAATACACCACAGATTTTATTCTTGATTTCTGTTATTACATTTTGAGAGAACTGTGACTCAAAAACAGACTAACAATAAAGTTAAGTTACACTTTGCCAAGGAAAATAGCTCAGATCTAATGCTGCTGCATATAAATAATACTAAATAAAATATTGTCTTGCAAAAAAAAATAAATAAAAATAAAATTAGGATATCTTTATTGGAAACATCATGTCTTAGCTAACAGCAATGTCAGTAGTTCACGTTAAAAACATGGTACTAGCTCCCGAGTGGCGCAACCGTCTAAGCGTTGGCCCTATCATCAGGAGATCGCGAGTTCGATCCCTGGTGATGCTACAGCCGTCCGTAGCCAGGAGTCCAAGAGAGCACAATTGGCCTCACTCTCTCTGGGTGGGTAGGATGGCCCCTCCTTCTCCCCCCATCACCCAACGCGATGCTAGTCAGTGCAGGCGTCTGTTAGCTGATGTAACAGATCTGGCAGTTGGCGCTTTCCTCCGAGCGCGTTCGGCTGTCCAGTGACGTTGCGTGAGCGGCGGTTGGCTTCACAGGTCTCGGAGGAAGCCTGTGTTAGCCTTCGCCCTCCTAGCGATGATAGCATCATGTGATTGGGGGAGTCCTAACTAGCGGGAGGAATTGGAGACGACTAAATTGGGTAGAAAAATCGGGTAAAAATGACATGGTACTGCTCATTGAAATTTCCAGCAGCATAGCAACGTCTGGGTCATATGGCTCACTTTTCTCCACATTATAGATTAGTTTCTCCTCTTCTGCTTTCGACAGTTTATCTGTGTTTTGACCGAAGGCAATGGGCTTAAAAACAATATTAAAGGTGAAAAACAGAGCAGTTTTTTTACTTGTAATAAAGTGATGGCTTTTAGTTTAGCTTTTTAACGGCTGGTTGTTGTTACAAACCACATTACAGGCAAATAAGGCAGCATGATACCTTAAAGGGATTCATTCACAGTGCCAGGATATATTGGTACTCATACAATGCTTCAAATTGCAAGGCTGGAACGAACTGTGGTCTAATCTCTAGTAGTTGTGTAATAGTGTAATGTTGCTAAGCCAAAGGAACGCATGTAATTGTCGTGAATGGGATGTGGGTTTGTGCTCTGCTCTAAAACAATATATCTTATCATCTTCTCATAGACGTGATGGATGCAACACTGAGATCATCATTGATATCATCAGCTATCCAATGGAAAACCACAGCTAAGAGAGATATTGATGGGTAGAGAGAGAGAGAGAGAGAGAGAGAGAGAGAGAGAGAGAGAGATTATTGTATTTGAAATGTATCAATTTTTTACATGCAATATCACACATCTGTATGATGAATGTCGTTTCACTATAAGATGTATGAAACGCTATGAGATGAAAACATTTTGATATAAAGATTGTTTATCAGACCTCACAATATGTTTCATCTAATTTCTTTACCTTTAAATAATGAAACATATAAAATCTTTAAGCAAATATAATTATTTTGTTCTGTGAACTGATTGGTCACTAATTTACACTAAGTGAAGGCTACTGGACTTATATATATATAATTTTTTTTCAGGATATCACTGTATGTTCTCTGAACTATATGTTAATATGACTGTTTCTGTCAACATCTGTCACTCCACAAGCCTTTCTTCTTATAAGTTCTTAAAATTCATGTCATTCATTTGCTCAGCAGTATCACTCATTAGAAGATCATCAGACTTTATCCAGGACTCCTACAAATGCCAAAAAAATCCCTGGACATTTCATTTTGCTTTTATATTTTACAGCTATCTGACTGTTATTTTTTTATTATTCACAGCCTCAAGCCTCTTTCTCTTGTATCATGTTGTATTTTTACTATTTAATATTATGTAATATTATTTTAAACAAATGTAATAGAATATTGTGGCATGAATAAATAACAACTTATATACACTGAATGTACACTTCATCATCTTATTATGATTATAATAATTTTACTACTATTGCATCTGAATGCATGCAATCTCCAGTGTCTCTGAGCAGAGAAACAGTGCCCTCCTCCAGTCAATTCAGAAACTGCAGACAGAGACCCTACCATCAGTGATGACGTCAAACCTCATGGCCACTTAAAGTGACAGTGCAGATACTAACCATACCTCTGCACAGGACTAACAGAAAATAATAAAGAAATATCACTTAAATAAATATCAGGTTTGTTGGGGTACTTGAGATGGAAAATGCATTCAGTATAGCAAGTCTTTGTTATCCAATATCAGAATGTGGTTATCTGTTAAAAAAAAAAAAAATACTTGCTTCCAGAAACTGAGTAGGAAATGTCTGAAATGAAGCTAAAGATCTGGTGTTGGCTTGGTAGATCTTGGAGGCTCTCCACAGTTGACACAGGGTTGTTGGATATTGTGTGGGGGAGCAGTGCTGAGGTGTGTCTCCTAAAGTCCACAGTCATCTCCACAGCGTTTTCAGCTCCAAGTTGTTCTGACTGCACCAGAACACCAGCTGTTCAACCTCCCGCCGATATGCTGACTCGTTGGCATCCTGGATGAGTCAGATGACCATAGTGTCTGTTCAGATGACCATAGTGTCTGTTCAAAGGACTTCATGACCACAGATGTCAGAACGACAGGTCTGTAGTTAATCCATCCTTTAATGGAGGGTTTCTTGGGAACTGGGATGATGGTGGAGCATTTGAAGCAGAAAGAGATCTAGTGCTTTTCTGATCTTTTTTCTCTGGAAGAGAAGGTTCACCTCCACTTCACAAATCTTAAGTGCTGCCTGAGCGGGGAGAAGAGGGGGGTTGCCAGAAGTGTGATGGGGGCTGATGATGTTGGGGCTGATGATGTTGGGGCTGAGGGGTGTGAATTTGTCGCTTTCAAACTTGTTATAGAAATGATTTAGGTCATCAGCCAGGTCTCTGTTTGCTCTGACAGGGGGGAGGTGGGCTTCTGTAGTTTATAATGTCTGCAGGGCCTCACCACACTGATGCCGGGTGATTTGCTGAAAACCTGTTGTTCAGCTTTTCCATCTAGTTCATTTTAGCCACTCTGAATTCCTTTGTCAGTGAGTTTCAGGCCTGTTTGTACAGGGCCCTATCTCTACTTCTGTAGGCATCAGCCTTGGTCTGACCAAGCTGTCTTAGTGTGGCTGTAAACTATAGCTTGTTATTATTGTATGTACCATGTCCCCTTCCTCAGCTGGGTTGCATGAGCAGAGAGCAGATGTGGCAGCGAAGAGGTGGTCAACATTGATTACTCACATTAGTAACACTATGCTTTGGAGCTGCACTCGAGAGTCATCATCATTCAAAAGTAGTGGGGAAGGGGGGCACCCATGACACCACACATAATGACTGTTCCTGAGAAACTTTCTGGAAACAGGTCCAGATTTTATTCTGTTCTTCAGATGATCTGATGATTTATTCTATCAGCTGGGTAACACTGTACTGAGATCAGCACTGATAACCCCCCAGTGATCATTAATGCTTCACACAGTAGCAGGAGAAGAGGAGGAACTGGATAAAGTCCTGCATGCTGGAACAGCCAGTGATCACCATGGAACACATCATAAATGACAGTAGTATTAGACATGAAGATAAAAAGACATCAAAGTTTTACTGACAGATAATTCAAACTTTGTAACAGATTCTGCTCATCTCTTGCTGCAGCAAAGGTCAAACGTACTCAATCAGAGGAAGCTAGTATATTAAGACTGTGTGTCTCCATTGGTGCAACAGCTTAAAGAGAAGTGTGTAAACCACATGCATTTTAGCAGTTTGCATGCTCTCATTTCTTGTCAGTCGGGTGTTGGTGATGAGCCTCATTACAGAGTGGTAAGACTGATTCTTCAGATCTGAATATGTTAAATAGCAACAGACTACATAACGTTTGGTGACTTAAATTATACGTGAATTACAGTATATTCAGATTAAAATAGATTTAGACCACATAAATTGTGGTTACTCAATTCTTAGAACTTTAAGGCAAGTCATAATTTTACTCAGACCAAAGGTTTTTGTTGTTAGATTACAACATAATATGTTTTAACAGCTGGCTGGATGAATCGGTTTTCAAATTTTGTCTGCAAAGAGTTTATTTGTTATGTATTATTGTTGTAGGCTTTAAAGTGATGGCATTGCTCAGAGTGTCTCTTCCTCTGTTGATTCTGCTCATGATTGTAGGTGAGTCAACACATCTTACTGAAACATCATCTCTACAAAAGCACAATGAATAGTTTTATGTGGACATACACATGAAATAAGTTAGTTAGTGATGTAAGTTGTTAATATCTAGAGCTACACCATATTTACTGTGTTCAGTTGGTAGTTTGTGCTGTTCTCTAGTCCCTTCTTTGACTCTGCTGCAACACCTTCAGAGCTCTTCTCACTTTGTGTTATCTCTCAGAATCAGCTCAGTGTTGTAGAGGAGCTGCTGGAGTTAGAGAGGAGAGAAGTGAAGCTGTAAGCTACAGTAACTCTGACTGGCTTATGGGCTCCAGACTCTGTAATCAGCTCTTTCATGCATCATATGTTTCAGGAGCTTTTGGAACAGAGTGGAGTGTGAAGTACAACCAACAGGAAATATGTGCTTTAAAAGGATCCACAGTGTTTATGAATGGAACTTATACTCATCCAGAACGTCTAAAACTGAAAGAGACTTTTTGGGTTATAGACCCTGTTAAGAATGTGGAGCCAACTGATCTGTCTAAAAACCCCGACTATTCAGCCAGAGTTGAACATTTAACTGATAAACAGACACACTTCGCCCTGAAACTGAATAATGTAACGGAAAATGATAAACATGAGTACTGCTTCAGGCTGATAGTAAATGTAGAGAAAGCAAATTGGCTGGGTTATCCTGGAGTTAAGCTCACTGTAACAGGTAGGTTAAATCATCACATTTCCAGCAATGAAAACACAGATGCTCATTTTGTTGTGCTTGCGTTTTCATGCTGTTTCAGCTCAATATTTTTTAAACTGCTCTGCTAAAGCATGGGAAACATTCAGATGTTCAGGACTGATTTTTCTTTCCTGATTTCATGGTTCGCTCACTCACTTAGAGCTCCATGTGGAAACTCCTGAAGAAGTGACAGAGGGAGAAACAGCAGATCTGACATGTAAAACCACCTGCAGTCTGACTGACCCAACATTCATCTGGTACAAAAATGGACGTCCTTTAACCACAAAGACCATCAAGAACAACCAGCTCCACCTGCAGACAGTCAGCAGTGAGGATGCAGGCAGTTATAGCTGTGCTGTAAGAGGATATCAGCATCTCCACTCTACTGCTCACAACCTCAGAGTCAGATGTGAGTTTTATTTTTTGCACAGTAATATTTACAAAAATTCCATAGAATATCTAATGAAACTCTCAAGTTTCAGTAAGAATACTGACTGTAATCACTAAGAAAGTTAATTGTATGCAATACTATCAAAAAGTTAAGCCCTTGCGTAATTTGTGGGACCTTATGCAACATGCATAGTGAGCATATATGGCTGACCAGCTCTGCGTATACCCTTCAAAAACTCTCAGTTGTCCATCAGTTACTCTGGTGACATAATGTATGGCAGTGCTATGTATTTAAAAATATATTGATGATTTCTAAATTTCTAAATTGCTTACTTAGTTATTGTCTGTTTTAGACCATCCGAAGAATGTTTCAGTGTCCATCAGCTCCTCTGGAAACATACTGGTGGGCTTTTCAGTGAATCTGAGCTGCAGCAGTGATGGATACCCACCTGTGAAGAACTACACTTGGTTTAAAGAAGGTGGAACTTCACCTGTAGGATCTGGACAGAATTACATTCCTCTACAGAGTGGATCTTACTACTGCGAGGCTCAGAATCAACATGGAGCTCAGACATCAGCTTTGATGCCAGTCGATTTAAATGGTGAGAAACACGACTAAAATGTATTTGTTCTCAAATATGTTCCATTTTCTGATTAATAAGTAATTGTTCATGTCATGCATCTGTTATGTTTTAAAAATTGTGGCAGTTTTACGGTTATATTTCTGGTTATGTTTGTGTTTGTTAGAGTATCTCTGTTTTCAGCAGGACACTCAGTGATTCTGTATGCAGCTGCTGGAGTCGGACTTTGTGGGGTTGCAGTTTTTCTCACCATATTTTTCTGGATGAGGTGAGAATAATTATCTATTTTAAATACAGTTACTATTATGATATCACTAAATGCATTTTTTTAAAATAATGTAATTATATAAATTATAAATAAAAATCCACAACTTCTAATCTCAGTTATCTTACAGAGTCTCTGAAGGAAAATGAAAATGTGGTACTCACCTCATAATATTTGGTGTGTGCCAATGTCTCCATATTATTTTAATAAATACCAATTTTATTTATTGTTTATGAACAGGAGGAAGAGGCAGACCAGAAATATGAATGAACCAGACTATGTGGTGAGTTCTTACAGTATTGTAGATATCAGTCAGTCAGTGGTGAGTCCTTTAACCCTCCTGTTGCCCTTGGCTAAAAATTGACCCATTTTCTGACCTGTTCTCTAACTCTCTTTTCTGAAGAACACTAGACTCAGAGCCAAGCCTCCTGATGAAGACTCTTGCAATGTTGATGACTACGAGAATGTAACAGTGAGTTACAAACAATACAAACCTATTACATTGTTACTGCACCACACTCTAGCACTGAATAAGGCCATGTATGCAGGTTTTATTCAAACGCATCTTAGGCATTAATTCACTTTCTGCAGATTCTCTTGTCTCATTTGTTTATCTTCCTTTTCCTGCATGCTCACTGATGGGGCCTGTAAGCCACGGAAGTAGCTAATCACAGGTTCACTCTGCCCCACCTTCTCAGTGCCCATTTGTGCTTCATTAGGTGCCCTAATACAATTGCCTGAAAAAAATACACAATTAAAAAGAGAGATAAAATAAATAGATTGTTAAAACTAAAGTATTGAGTCTGTTTTGAAAATGTAATGAGTAAAAAGTACAGATTCTTCCTCTGAAATGTAAAAATATGGTACCACTGACTAAATCTTCCAGCAGGCTATGTCCATATAAACATTAGAGGAAAGATCCTACAGCTCACTGTTCTCCATCTCATGGATTAATTTCTCCTCAGCAGTTCTTTGGCCAGTTTATCTGTGTTTTGACAAAAGACAGCAGTAATAAAGGGGAACATCAGTGTAATGCAAGCTGTTGCCCTTGGCCTAAAAATGATTTGTTTCTGACCTGTTCTCTAATTATCTGTTCTGCAGAAAGCAGACCTCAAAGCTCCACCTCCTGATGATGACTCATCCAGTGTTGATGTCTATGAGAATATGACAGTGAGTTCCAAATGTTTGGCTGTAATTACAAAACAATCCAACTACATTGTAGAGAATGCAGAAAGCAAGTAATGACACAGATCTCACTCCTTTAAGATGAAGAGAAGTATTTATCTATTCTTCATTCTTTCAGTGATCACAAGAAATGATAAAGATCATCAACCTTGAGTGTTTTATTCAGATTTCACCACAGTTTCATTCTTGATTTTTATTAATGGATTTTGAGAAACTATGACATAAAAAACATGGATTTTTCAAAATTCCAATCACTGCAGGATATAAACACTACTGAGTGAAGTATCATAACAAAAAATATTCAGGATGTCTACATTGGAAACATATTCATCAGATAAAATGTAAACAAACTATGAACTTATCAGCCAGCAGCTCAACATCAGTGCAATGCAAACTGTGTTCTTTGGCTAAAAATGATTCATTTCTGACCTGTTCTCTAAATTTCTATTCTGCAGAAATCTGGCCCCAGAGCCCCGCCTCCTGATGATGACCCGTCTAGTGATATTGACTATGAGAATGTAACAGTGAGTCCCAATCATTTAAGTCTTATTACACTGTTATTACGCTACAATCCAGCTACATTTTACAGATTGGACAAACTTGATAGCAAGTACTGACACAGATCTTAGTATTTTAAGATAAAATGAATGATTTATCTACTTATCATTCTTTTACTGGTCACTTGATGGTGAGGATTAGAATTACTTTTTTATAGCACAACTGTATTCTTGATTTTCATTATTAGTTTGAGACAATTTTGACGCAAAACAGATTAATAAAAAAATATTTTCACTTTACCAAGAAAACAGTTTTTTTTTTTATCTAGTGCTGTTGCATAAAAAATAATCCATATAAAAGTCTTGCCTTACAAAAACATTGGGATGTTTTACCAGCTCACAGCTTGAGAGAACTAGCTACATATTTAGCATGTGTCCCAGATAGCAAGAATATATCAGTCCACTGGCTTGATATGGTCGGCACCTCACTGACTGTTTGCCACTGCTGGTCCACCCTTGGACAACCCAGTTTATTGTCCTGCATACAATCTCTAACTAGTTTTTAATCTGCTCAAACATTTTAAATGCACAGAAACTTTTATTTTAGAAAATAAATTAAGAGAAACATTACAAACAACCGAGAGAAAAAAATAATGACTATGCCTAATGTAAAATTATGTTCTAGGAACTGTTGTTGCCAACACTGCACTAGATTAAAATTACTTACTAAACTTATTTACAAAGTATAACTAAAGAAAGTAGGAAAAATCAGTAAATTGGACTGTGAGTGGAAAATGAGTGATGATAAGTGGAATTTTGTCTGATACTCTGCCTCACCACCGGTGGGCCGCCCGGAAAATGCTGAGCAAAATGCCAGCGTACCACCAGCTTTGCCATCAGCGGGCACACAGTGGTCCACTATCCTCCTGCTATCAGGGGTGTTGCACATTTTAAAGCAATAGCAGAAGCTCATGGTAAATGTAAAACATAGTACCACTACCTAAAACCTCCAGCTGACAGTGTCTTTAAATAACAGAGGAAGAAGCATACAGTTCACTTGACCTGACTTGACTTGACTTGACTTGACTTGACACTATTCTCCATTTCAGTTTTTCTTCGTCTGTTTTCGGCCAGTTTAACTGCAATATTTAAGGTGGAACATCAGCATCAATGTGACTCCCTGCAGTCAAACATTGAGATGAAGTGATACCTTATAGAAATTTGTTCAGAGTAGCATCATCCAGATATATTGAACCCATATAATGCTTCATACTAAGAGGTTGAAACTAAAGGTGGTTTAATAGTTAATAATTGTGTAATTGTGTAAAGTTGCTACACAAACGGAATGCTTGTGTGTGTGTGTGTGTGTGTGTGTGTGTGTGTGCTCTGCTCTGCTCGAACACACTATATTTTGTATCATCTTCTCATAGACTTTGAAGAAGCATCAGTGAGACCATCATCATCGTTATCAACCAAAACTGCACAGCTGAGAGAGAGAGGGAAAGAGAGAGTTGAGATTGCTTTGAATCATCTATTTTGAAACATGTAAAACAGTCAGTCTTTATGTGAGGGCCTTAGATTTTACAGATAAAAATATCAAACCCAAATATCAACATATAAACATATCTGTTTGACTTGCTGTAAGGTGTATTTTCTCTATGAATTGCTTAAAGCTGAAAACATTCTGACATAAATTATGTGTAACAGCTCTCATATTCAGGGCATTTGCATTCTCCACCTTCTCTGTACATATAATATTGTATTTATTCTATATATTTCTGTAAGTATGATATATAAAATATGTAAATGTATAATTATTTTGTTCTGTGAACTGGTTTGTCTGGGGTACTAAGTTCTTATAAGCTCTTAAAACTTATATCATTTGCTCAGTAATATCACTCATTAAAATGTCATCAAACAGTAACCAGCACTCCTACAAATGCCACATAAAAAAAAAAGAATTCATTTACATTTCATTTTTCTCTTTGACATTATCTGTAATTTATTTTTTAAATGTAACATTATCTTGCATCATAAATAATAAAAATTATACACATTATAATGTAATATGCATTAAATACTGTTTTTCTTACTATTATTATTACTACTACTACTACATGCAATTGTATGTGTTGATGTCTACAACAAACATCCCCAGTTTGTCAGAGCAGAGAAACAGCACCCTCCTCCTGTCAATTCACAAACTGCAGACAGAGACAGTCGCACCAGTGATGACGTCAAACCTCAGGGCCCCTTAAAGTGACAGTGCTTACACTAACCATACCTCTGCACAGGACTAATACAAAATAATGAAGATCAGTTAAATAACTATGAAGTTTAGGATAAATATATTTAACAATGACTGGATCACATTAAATGACATTAACTTTGTATATGCATGTTTCACTGCTTTATTCAAAGATTCATTCTTTAGATTCATTTTATAGCTACAGAGAAAATGACATCACTTACAGCCAGTCAGCATCTAAACCGAGGTCAATTTCCAAAATAAGAATCTAAGTTTGCTTATCTGGTGACCTGCTTTAAGAAGTTAGATCATTCTGAATGGAATATACCAGCTGTCTTTGTCTGTAAAACAGCATTCAGTACAGTGTCTTTGTTTTCAGACATCAGAATCAGCAATACTTGCTCACAGAGACTTCTTGATATGTTTAACCAATAGTGAATTTTATTGGTCAGTGTGTTATTGGGTACAAGGGCATTGACCTGAGAGTGACTGTAAATACAAACAGAAAAAGGCACTTGAATTTGATGTACATTGGATAAACATGAAGAACATTTACTCTTTTAATCAAATAAACAGCTTGTACAACTGTCACGATGAAATAATGTATTTACACACAAACAATTTTATAAATATTGACTTGATGATGAAAATCTAGCTCACTTGCAATTTTGAGAACCATATTTACCATACTCTATTAATATTAATGAACAATGCATTGCTAATCTAAAACACCTTCAAAAATTTCACAGTTGCTGTGAAGACAGGTAAATAATGTAGTCTCTAGTGGCCTACTACCTTAACAGGACCTCATTTTTATTAAATTGACATTTATCAAACTGGGAATTAAATGCTACATTTACCAGCATTTCATTGCATAAAGCACCTTTGAACTGGGAGTATGAAAACCTACAGTAAACTGCAGCATGACAGCCAGAACAAACTGCAAATCTGCTATAAAATGTATATTGTAACAACAGGAGTGTAAAATATGGAGATTTTCCTACATTTCCTCAAACAAATCAAGAATCAGAAGACTAGAAATTATTCATGTTGTCAGAAACAGGAACCGTATGCATTGGAGCCACAGTCATAGCATTAATTTGGTGCAAAAAAAGTGGAGGAGGGGAAACACCTATGACATCACACATCATGGCAGTTGCTGAGAAATTTTCAGAAAGCAGGTCCAGATCTCACTGTGTTCTTCAGATGATCTGACGATGTTTATTCTATCAGCTGGGTAACACTGTACTGAGATCAGCACTGAAAACAAGAGGTGGAACTGGTTAAAATCCTGCGGAGAGGTCAGTGTAGTTATCGGAACACATGAAAAACTCTAATATTAGAAATGGGAAATGAAAGGACTTCATAGTTTTACTGAGAGATAAAACTGTTTTTGCAGCAGATTATGCTGATGTCTTGCTGCAGCAGAGGTCACATGTACCCAGTCAGAGGAAGTTGGTATATTAAAAATTTTGAATGTCTCTATAAAGTGCAACAGCTTACAGCTTTGTGTGCTTTATAACCACATACATTTGAACGGCTCGCATGCCGACACAGCTCTCATTCCTTGTCAGCTGGGCATTGATGAGCCACATTACAGAGCGGTAAGACTGATTCTTCAGTTCTGAATAGGTTTAATAATAACAGACTACTTGATGTTTGGTGATTTAGAACTAAGTATATTAAGATGAAAATAGATTTAGACCACATAAATTGTGGTTACTCAGTTCTTAGAACTTTAAGATAAGTCAAACCAAAGGTTTTTGTTGTTAGATTACAATATAATGTGTTTAAACAGCAGGCTGGATGAATTGGTTTTCAAGTTTTGTCTGCAAAGGGTTTATTTGTTATGTATTATTATTGTAGGCTTTAATGCAATGGTGTCGCTCAGAGTGTCTCTTCCTCTGTTGATTCTGCTCATGATTGTAGGTGAGTCAACACATCTTACTGAAACATTTCTACAACAACACATTGGATTGTTGTAATGTAGAAGTACACATTAATTAAAAGTTCATAATGTCTACAGCTACACCATTTTCACTGTGTTCAGTTGGTAGTTTGTGCTGCTCTCTTGTCCCTTCTTTGACTCTTTGGCTGCAACACCTTTAGAGCTCTTCTCACTTTGTGGTTTCTCTCAGAATCAGCTCAGTGTTGTAGAGGAGCTGCTGGAGTTAGAGAGGAGAGAAGTGGAGCTGTAAGCTACAGTAACTCTGACTGTCTTATGGGCTCCAGACTCTGTAATCAGCTCTTTCATGCATCATATGTTTCAGGAGCTTTTGGAACAGAGTGGAGTGTGAAGTACAACCAACAGAAAATATGTGCTTTAAAAGGATCCACAGTGTTTATGAATGGAACTTTTACTTACCCGGGTGGTCTAAGAGTGACGGAAGTTTTCTGGGTTATGGACCCAGATCAGAATCCGAGTTGGCCTGATTTGTCCAAAAACCCAGATTATTCAGGCAGAGTTGAGTATTTGGGTGATAAAGAGAAATTAGTTTACCTTAAACTGAATAATGTAATGAAGAATGACGAACATGAGTACTGCATCAGAATCAAGACAAATCAAGAAATGCAAAAATATTTGGAAAGACCTGGAGTTACGCTAACTGTCACAGGTAAGATTAATCAAATTTACCAAATATGTGACACAATCCATCCTCTCACTTTAGACATTGTGATGTCACATGGTAACGCATTCCTGATTAATGAGTGGCTACTAAAGATATTCATGGATATAACTAAACATTTGGGTTATATACTCAATGTGTTGGCTCCACTGATTTCCATGCTTTTTTTGTTCAATTCATGTCAGACCTTGGAAAACACTAAGCCGTGCAGTTGTCAGTTTTCTCAGCACTGTGACAGAAAACGTAATACAAACAAATCAAAGTTTTTCCAAGCAAATGTCTGAGTTTAGCTTTTTTTCCAAATGCAATAATCCGTCAATGTCTTAGAGCTCCGAGTGGAAAGTCCTGGAGAAGTGACAGAGGGAGAAACAGTAGATCTGACATGTAAAACCACCTGCAGTCTGACTGACCCAACATTCATCTGGTACAAAAATGGACATCCTTTAACCACAAAGACCATCAAGAACAACCAGCTCCACCTGCAGACAGTCAGCAGAGAGGATGCAGGCAATTATAGCTGTGCTGTAAGAGGATATCAACATCTCCAGTCTACTGCTCACAACCTCAGAGTCAGATGTGAGTTTAGTTCATGTTGTTCAATACACTACATACTGTAAATATTAACCAGTGGTTTTATCAGGAAAACAGAAATATAGATGTCTTGGTAACATATTGCCATTTGAAAATGGTCATGTGTGTCTTTAGATTCTCCAAAGAATGTCTCAGTGTCCATCAGTCCCTCTGGTGAAATAATGGAGGGCAGTTCAGTGACTCTGACCTGCAGCAGTGATGCAAACCCACCTGTGAAGATCTACACCTGGTTTAAGGGATCAACATCAGTAGGAGAAGGAAAAACCTACAGTATTCCCACCATCAGATCTGAGGACAGTGGAGAATACACATGCCAGAGTTGGAATGAACATGGAGAGAGAAGATCCACTGCTGTGCAGATTAATGTTCTGTGTAAGTTAATGACTATTTGTTTTGCTGCATTTGTTTCGGGACAGTAAGAGAGCAAACAGCGGAGAGGAAAACCACTGAGTACCGGGTTTTAATGAAATCAAATAATATGATTTGTTGAATGACTGCTTATATATGGTGGGTAACTGTGGAGTGAGTTGGAGTGTAATGATTGTGCGTTTTGGTGTGGTATCACCTCAACCCATGATTGATCCCTTGATCTACTTGTGGTTTATCTTCTGGCTTTTTTTGGTAGACATTCTTCACAGCTTTCTTTTTCTTTTACTTTCCTGTATGGGGGGACTGTTTGTCTCTTTGCTTTACTTTAGCACCTTGAAGTTCTTTATCTGTTTGATTTGGGGCTGTTTGTCTGTTTGGTTTTACAGCTTTTCATTCTTGTCTCTTTTCATTTTAGAGCCATTTGTTCTTTCTGTCTCTGATTTATATGGTCACCCCTCTACAAGGTGTGGTGCAAAACTGCTCTTTGCCATGGGCTGAAGTGCAGCATCATACAGGCGTGCCTGGTTTGCGCTTATCAGCCCATTGGCTTCTGATGATTTGAGTTCCCAGTGGTGCCTCACTGCCATCACCCTCTGCTGGCAACAGCTAATTTACTTTTATTCTTGTCTCTTATAGATCCTCCAAATAATATCTCAGTGTCCATCAGTCCCTCTGGTGAAATAGTGGAGGGCAGCTCAGTGAATCTGACCTGCAGCAGTGATGGAAACCCACCTGTGAAGAACTACACCTGGTTTAAGGGATCAGCATCAGTAGGAGAAGGAAAAACCTACAGCATTCCCAACATCAGATCTGAGGACAGTGGAGAATACACATGCCAGAGTCGGAATGATCATGGAGAGAGAAGATCCAATGCTGTGCAGATTAATGTTCTGTGTAAGCTTCTTGTGATTGTTTTAAGCTGTGTTAGATGATTTGTGGAAGCCCAGAAATCTCAAAGATCATTATCATTTTTATCTTGTCTGGCGTAGATCCTCCAAAGAATGTCTCAGTGTCCATCAGTCCCTCTGGTGAAATAGTGGAGGGCCGTTCAGTGACTCTGACCTGCAGCAGTGATGCAAACCCACCTGTGAAGATCTACACCTGGTTTAAAGAAGGTGGAACCTCACCTGTAGGATCTGGACAGAATTACAACATCATCAACATCACTGCTGAACACACTGGACTGTACTACTGTGAAGCTCAGAATGAACATGGAACTCAGAGGACAGCTGGAGTGCCGGTCTCTTTTAAAGGTGAGAGACAAGATTATAGATTGTAGTTCAAAGTATGATCTCTTTTGTAGATCATATTATCATGTTGTTCATATTATTATTAATGTGTATTTGTTTATGAATGTTGCCTGTTTGTGTATCCCTATACAGGCTACCCTGTGATTCTGTATGTAGCTGTTGGAGTCGGACTTTGTTC